TCCCATCAGCAGTGAGCAGATGTAGCTGAGTCTGTGAGCTGACTGCCCAGGGAATGCAATAGACATCAGCTGGAGCTCAGATCCCATCAGCAGTGAGCAGATGTAGCTGAGTCTGCGAGCTGACAGCCCAGAGAATGCAATAGACATCAGCTGGAGCTCAGGTCCCATCAGCAGTGAGAAGATGGAGCTGAGTCTGCGAGCTGACTGCCGGGTGTGGGGCCACGGGAAATCTGCAAGGACTCTAGAGGCTGATGGGGCGTTACCTTCCCTGGAGACATCTGCCCAGAGGAGGATGAAGAGCTCTGGGTTCTACTAACACCAAAGCCCAACATGCACGAAAAAGGTGACTCGGATGTCTGATGGTTCAGGAGGGCCCAGGTAAGCGGCAAAGGAGCTGCTGAAACAATCAGACCACCTACTGCAAGCACCTCACGGTCCCACAATGATTCAGGAACCCAACTACAAGGTCCCCTCCATGGGGAACGGGACAGGGAGAGCAGGAAATTGATTCATGAGACAGAGGCTGTGAACACACATTCAAAACTCCCCAGGGGTCCTAGACATACCCTGGGACCACCAGCTCTCTCCCAGCCCCTGCCCCACCTCAGCTGACCTGCCTGCATCTACACTGCTGCTGAACAGGCATCGGCAAGGTCACCAACCCCCTAACCTTTGGCTATTTGGACCAAGGATGGTCTAGAAATCCAGGACTGCTGTGGCCTGGCCTGCAGACATGAGCTAGGCCTACGAGATTGTCACTTTTAGGGGACCTCAACTGAGACCCAGTGAGAAATTCCAGTTGGTGTGGAAGGTCATGTGACTGAGGCCATGCTGTGGGCCAAGGAGGGCGTGAGAATGAACAGGGAGCAAAGACGGACTAGAAAAGGCTGCGCACAGTGGCTCATGCCTGTAATCCCAACACTTTGGGAGGCCAAGGAGGGTGGATCACCTGAGGTCAGGAGTTTGAGATCAGCCCAGCCAATATGGTGAAACCCAATCTCTACTAAAAATATTAAAAAAAAATTAGCTGGGCACGGTGGCGGACACCTGTAATCCCAGCTATTCTGGAAGCTGAGGCAGGAGAATCGCTTGAATCCAGAAGGTGGAGGTTGCAGTGAGCCAAGCTCACGCCACTGCACTCCAGCCTGGGTGACAGAGAGAGACTCCATCTCAAAAAAAAAAAAAAAAAAGATGGACTAGGAAAAGAGGAGATGGGCAGACCCCCATCAGGAAGTGGAGGGAGGCCACACGAGAAAGATGACAGCACCCCACTAAGTCAAGAAAGGCCCCTCCATGCCAACGCCCCAGCTCCCGGGCCACAGACAAGATGTGCAGGAAGTTCTCACCAGGGGCCTTGGCATGTGCCTGGCACCTTCCCCAGATTAACTCAGGGCACCTTCACTGTGGATCTCAAAGGGAGCTGATATAATCACACCCCTACTCTCACAGGACTGTGGTCAAGAGCAGATGAGTTCATCAGGTCCAGCCACATCGCAGTGCAGGACGCCTTCGGCTTTGCAAATGCTGGCTCTCATTGTCACTGTCATCCCCGTTTTCCAGATGAGGACACAGCAACTGACAGACAGGAAGCATTCGGCCTCATTTAACAGCCAGGAATGCTGACACTCAGAGCAGTAAAGCACTCGGGCTTACACAACTTTCTAGAGCTGGTACTGCATCCAACTGGCCCCGTCCTGCTGCCAGTGGCTGCCCCGCCCTGCCTCTGCGCTTGACTAGTTTGAGTAGGTTTCTCCTCCCTGCCAAGGGACAGGAAGATTCTACACCCCAGTTCAGAATTTCAACAGCTTCCTGAGTGACTGGTGGGCTCCAGTCATAATTTCCTAAATCTGGGCCCAGACAAGGGACATTCACTTCCTAGGAAAACGAGGAGGCGCTTAAGTGGGTTGGGCCAAGCCTTCTCTGACCCAGCGGTGCTCTGTGGGCAGGGACAGCAACTGGGCACTTCTCTGAGCCAGACGCTGTGCCAGCTGCTTTACACTGCACCCCACGGCCCAGCTGGGATCAACCACGTCCTCCCCGCGACCTGCGCCGAAGAAAGCAATAACAAACCACATGGGCACGTGCTCAACCGTGTGGAATGGTAGGAAAACGCTGACCCACACCAGAGACTTTTTATTTACTTACTTACTTATTTATTTATTTTGAGATGGAGTCTCACTCTGTCGCCCAGGGTGGAGGACAGTGCCATGATCTCGGCTCACTGCAACCTCCACCTCCCGGGTTCAGGCGATTCTCCTGCATCAGCCTCCTGAGTACCTTGGATTACAGACACACACCACCACACCCAGCTAATTTTTGTATTTTTAGTAGAGACAGGGCTTCACCATGTTGGCCAGGATGGTCTCAAACTCCTGACCTCAGGGGATCTACCCACCTCGGCTTCACAAAGTGCTGGGATTACAGGCATGAGACATCGCACCCAGCCCAGAAACAGCTTTTAAAGAAGCTACTTCCTGATCCCCAAGCACTTTTCTGCACAGGGTGGCAGGGCCTTTACAGACAGGGGTTCAGTTACCTTCTTGCGTCTCCAAAGAGGTAAAATCATGGTCACTATTTGTGGTCAGTTTTTAAACGACCAAGTTCAACTGGTAAGGGAGAAACTTGGTAAGGGAGAAAAACGGGCCACTGGTAAGGGAGAAAAATGGGCCTGAGGACCCTGGTGACTTGCCAGCCGGTTCAGCCCAACACTCACTCCACCGGAGCACCTCAGGATACCCAGGTTCAGGCAGAGAAGCCAAGCCCTCGCTCACGTCTGCATCTCAGTGAACCCCACCTGGCCCTGAGCCCCATCCCCACCCACCTCCTGTGCCTCCCAGCTCCCATTTCTACCTGTCTAGGGAACTCAGATATTCCTGCTGCTTCTCGAAGCCAAAGCTCTTACTGGAGGAAAGGAGTAATTGGGAGACACCCACCTGCCGGGCTGTAAGAGCCCACGCCGCTGACAGGGAAGAGGATGTCCGAGTCATTGTGCAGCACCTTCAGCGGAGCCCAGCTGTGCATCTGGGAGAGGCAGGTGTTCCCGTCCAGTGGCCTAAGGTGAAAGAACACAGCTGCAGGACAGGCCAAAGACCCCAGAGGCCTCATGATTCACCAACAAGCATCCACATCGCTCTCTTGAGAACTAACCAGGCCACGGCAGGGCTGAGAACAGAAGGACGTGTGGGCTGGGAGGAGCATGGAGTCCAGATCCAGACCTCTTGCATTTGTTCTCTCAACCAGTGTTTATTGAGCACCTATTCTATGCCAGGCACTGTGCTCCCTACTGGCGGCAAAAAAGCCAGTGAACAGTGTTGATCCTGACCTCAGGGAGCCTGCAGTCTGCTGGGGAGCATGAACATGAATCAAATAATCCTGCAAGAAGCTGGAAATGGCAGCTCAGATCATAGAGGAAGGTCATGGAAGGCTGCCTGGAAGAAGCAGGGCTTGAGCAAGGAGCTGGCCCAAGCTCTGTTCCTTCCCAAGAAAAGGAACAGAGACTTGGGGGAGGAGACAGCACATGCATCACAGGCCATCTGCTCCAGGTTCCAAAATGACAGCAGTCACCTGAGCTGGGGCTAGTGCTGCTCTGCCTCACTGCTTCTGAGCCCCTCATGGGTAAAAGGACAGAATCAGACCAGTCACATCTGGGTCCCTTCCAAGAAAGGGGGTCGGCTCAACTATTAACCAGGCTCATATGATCTGTTATATTGTCACCTTACCCACAAAGTACAAAACTCTAATGCGTGCCATCTTCGTAATGCCAGGCGGTGTGGTAGGGTTTGTTTGGGAGTAATGGCCCCTGCCTCTGAGCAATCAAGAAATGTTAATAAATACCTGGAGCTATTTTTGCAGTATAGTCGTCACCCAGTATCTGCATTCCATCTGTATCAACCGTTTCAAAAACCCCCTGCAAATCTGAGGACGCTCAAAGTCTCTTGTTTTGTTTGTTTTTAGAGTCGGGGTCTTGCTCTGTTGCCCATGCTGGAGGACAGTGGCACAATCACAGTTCACTGCAACCTTGAGCTCCTGGGATTCAGCGGACCCTCCTGCCTCAGCCTCCCAAGGAGTTTGGACTACAGGCGTGAGCCACCATACCCAACTAATTTTTTGTTTGGTTTGGTTTTTTGTGAAGACAGGGTTTCGCTATGTTGTCCAGGCTGGTCTCAAAATCCTAGCCTGAAGCGATCCTCCCACCTCAGCCTCCCCAAGTGCTTGGATGACAGGCATAAGCCACCTCGCCTAGCCTGAAGTTCCCGATGTAAATTGGTGTTGTATTTGCATAAGCACATCCCCCCACATACGTACTTTACGTCATCACTAGATTGCTTACGATACCTAATAAAATCCAAATACTACGTAAATAGTTGTTATATTGTATTTTTATCTTCATTATTTTTATTAGGGTTTTTTTGGGTAATATTTTCAATCCACAGTTGGTTGAAACCGTAGAGGCAGAACCCACGGACGCAGAGTCCATGGAGGCAGAGAGCCAGCTGCACTGTAAGCTTTTTTTTTTTTTTTTTTTTTGGGACAGAGTCTCCCTCTGTCGCCCAGGCTGGAGTGCAGGGGCGCACTCTGTAGCTGGGACTACAGGCGCCCACCACCAAACCCAGCTAATTTTTTTATTTTTAGTAGAGACAGGGTTTCACCGTGTTAGCCAGGATGGTCTCAATCTGACCTCATGATCCCTGCCTCTGCCTCCCAAAGTGCTGGGATTACAGGCGTGAGCCACCGCGCCCAGCCTGTACTATAAGGTTTAAACATCATTTTGTATCTCAGTAGATAAAGAAGACCAAAGCAGATCATAATCATATCTACTTAAGAAGGGAAGGAAAGGAGGAGGGAGGGGCAAACAAAGGGAAGGGAAGCAAAAGAAGAAAGAGTGTGTGGCTTGTCCAAGGCCATCAGCCCTAAGCAACAGAACCAAAGCTGTGGGACTGGAGCCCAAGTCTTCCAAATTCAAGTGCACTGAGTCTTTCGTCTCCTGCCCACAAGTGACATTACTTATATAGTTTGTCTTTATCTTAGAGTTACTCTAAAATCCACAAATATTTTCTGTAATAGACCACAGAGTACATATTTCAGGCTTTGTGACATACTCGTCTTTGTTGGTGTCTCTTAACAACTCTTTAAAAACGTAACAGCCGTGCACTGCTTGGGGGCGGATTTGGCCTGCAGGCATGGTTTGCCAGCTCCTATTTTAGAGGCTTGTCAGGTAGAAGTCTCCTTTCAGCCCTCTCTAGCTTTTGGCCAGACATCTGGCACAGAGCGAGAAGCGCAGGAGTAAATAATCCAGCAGAATTTTGCAAGACGGATCATTCAACCATGCCCGTAACACAATGCGGCTTTCAGACAGCAGGATGGGGGCAAAAGAAGAGCCACTCCCGCCGGTGTCCTGGCAGCGCACCCAACCTGGGCAGAGAACCAGGTGAACTTGGCTGTGGCTCTGGAATCTGTCAAGAGGTGCCCTCCTGAGGCTCTGACCCGGCCACTGGTGACCACAGGGCAGGCACCCAGAGGTGGTCAGGGGTGACCTTTCAGGAGAAGGCAGCAAAAGCAGCCAGACCTGTCTCGGCCACTCCACTGCTTCCGAGCAGATGCAATGTTCTGCTGGTTTCTAAGATAATTCTCGACACTTCCCCGCAACATATCCAAGTACAAGGTGAAGCCAGGCCTCAAGAGGATGAGGTTCCAAACCCGAGAAGTGAGCCCCAAGGACCACCACCTCAAAATGAGTTACATTAAAGATTGCTGGTCAGGCCAGTGGCTCACACTTGTAATCCCGGTACTTTGGGAGGCCGAGGCAGAAGGATCACTTGAGCCCAGGAGTTCGAGCCCTGTCTTTACAAAAAATTTAAAAATTAGCCAGGTATGGTGTTGCACACCTGTAGACCCAGCTACTGGAGCGGCTGAGGTGGGAGGCTCCCTTGAGCCTGGGAGGTCGAGGGCTGCAGTGAGCCGAGATCATTCCACTGCCTCCATCCTGGGCCACAGAGCAAGACCCTGTCTCAAAACAAACAAACAAAAAAACAAAAAAACAAAAAAACACTCTAGGTGCAGTGGCTAACGCCTATAATCCCAACACTTTGGGAGGCCAAGGTGGGTGGATCACCTGAGGTCAGGAGTTTGAGATTAGCCTGGCCAACATGGTGAAACCCCATCTCTACTAAAAATACAGAAAAATTAACCAGGTGTGGTGGTGGGCACCTGTAATCCCAGATACTTGGGAGGCTGAGGCAAGAGAATCGCTTGAACCCAGGGGGCAGGGATTGCAGTAAGCCGAGATTGTGCCACTGTACTCCAGCCTGAGTGACAGAGTGAGAATCCATCTCAAAACAAAACAAAGAAATAAACAAAAAAATATATATATACACACATATATATAATACACTGATTAGCTCATCTTCATAACACTAGATACTCTTAAACATCATTTGAGATGTTTGAGATTCCAAACGTCAAGATGTCAAGGCTTAAACTACAAAATCTTCTGCTGTTAACTGTCCCCCTGTGGCTGCACATTTAGGTCAACTCCAGCGTTCTGCTTCTCTGAATAAGGACTTTGGTATCTAGATGCAGCAACTTTTCCCTGAATCGAGGGTATGTTCTCCGGGTAGCTTCTTGCACTGGGACTGCTAAATCCAGTGGAATAAACATCCTTAAGTTCATGCCAATTTGTCAAACTGCTTTCCCCCAAGGCTATCAACTGCTCCCAGCTCAACTGCTTCCAGCTGTCTTTGAGGGCAGCCCCTGTGCACCACCCCTGCAGCCTCATTCATCCCACAGACACCAAGTGGATGCCATGGGATGTGCCTGGAACTGAGGACCCACTGACAGCGAGATCTTTCCCTTCCACCAGGGCGCCAACCCAAGGTCTCCGCAAATACGATGGGCAAAATATGCAGCCTTGTTTCACTTTGCATTTGCTTAACTGCTAGTGAGATGCAGAATAGCAAGACGCCACATATGTTTGTAGTCCTTTCTGAAGTATGTTTCCCCCTCCTTCCCTACTGGTATCAGAGAACACATATAAAGTGATTCAAAAAGCCCTTTCTGGGCCTGGCGCGGTGGCCCATGCCTATAATCCCAACACTTTGGGAGGCCAACATGGGAGGATCACTTGAGGCCAGGAAGTCAAGACCAACCTGGGCAATGCCTTGAGACCCCATTTCTATAAAGAATTAGTTGCGCCTGGTGGCATGCACCTATAGTCCTAGCTACTCAGGAGGCCAAGGTAGGGAGATCACTTGACACTAGGAGTTCAAGGCTGCAATGAGCTGTGATCAGTCCACTGCACTCTAGCCTGGATGACAGAGCAAGACCTGTCTCAAAAAAAAAAAAAAAGACAAACAAACAAACAAAAAAAAAAAAGAACAAAACAACAAACCCTGACTGTAATAAAAATACTATCCCTTTTAAAGAAAAATACAAAAAGCAAAGCTAATACTTGAGATAAATACTGAGGCAGAAGAAACAAGACTTCTTCAGACATCAAAGAAGTGGTGTAATGACCAGTAAACCGAGGAGTAAGCCTAACTTTGACCAACAGAGGATCTTAAAGACAACAGGGCAGCAGACTCTGCCAGAGGCTTTGGCAATCCACAGTGAGCTTCTCCCGGTCTGGCCACATTCCCCTCACACATCTGCTGTGCACCAGCCCCCTCGACCTTCCCTGTGAACACCAGCTTAGAATCAAAATCAAAGCATTACTCAGTAGGCCATCCCATCACTCCGCTGTGTCTTCCCCACGCTGCTCTGTGGAAGGTCAATCAAGATCCCTCTGAATGCCAGGGAGAGCTGTCCGGAGTCTGCAGGAGGCCCTCTAGCTTCGGAGGGCCCAGGCCAAGTGAAGGTCACCCTGCACTGTGTTGGGCATTTACACATCACAATGCTGGAGGCTGCCTTGGCTCACACACCAGCCTCACCCATGTGGCTACACTCAGTGGCATCAGCAAGCAGCATCTCCTCAAAGGCCCAGATTGCAAAGTAAAGGCACGTGGCCAGGTGCGGAGGCTCATGCCAGCAATCCCAGCACTTTGGGAGGCTGAAGCAGGTGGATCACTTGAGCTCAGGAGTTCAATACCAGCCTGGCCAACATGGTGAAACCCCATCTCTACTAAAAATACAAAAATTAGCCGGGCGCAGTGGCGCACTCCTGTAGTCCCACCTACTACTCTGGAGGCTGAGGCAGGAGAATCGCTTGCACCCGGGAGGTGGAGATTGCAGTGAACTAAGATCACGCCACTGCACTACAGCTGGGGCCATGAAGCAAGACTGTTTCAAAAAAAAAAAGAATAAAGGCACTTGCGAGGGTTAATTGTATGTGTCAATTTGGCTGGGCCACAATACCCAGATATTTGGTCAAACATTATTCTAGATGTTTCTATAAGGGTATTTTTTGGATGAGATTAACATTTTAAATCAGTAGATTTTGGGTGAACCAGATTACGCCACATAATGTGGGCGGGCTTCATGTAAGCAGTGCAAGGCCTCAATAGGAAAAAGATGGACCTTCCAGAAGAAGAAGAAATTCCACCAGCAGATTGCCTCTGGACCTGAACTGCAACTCTTCCCTGGGTCTCCAGTCCACACGCCTACCCTGCAGATTTTGGACTTCCCAGCCCCACAATCACATGAGCCAATTCCTTAAAATAAGTCAAGAGAAGACTGGGCACGGTGGCTCACGCCTGTAATCCCAGCACTCTGGGAGGCCAAGGCAGGTGGATCACAAGGTCAGGAGTTTGAGTCTGGCCTGGACAACAGGACAAAACCCCATCTCTACTAAAAACACAAAAGTTAGCAGGGTGTGGTGGGTACCTGTAATCCCAGCTACTTGAGAGGCTGAGGCACAAGAATTACTTAAACCCCGCAGGCAGAGGTTGCAGTGAGCCGAGATCGTGCCACTGTACTCCAGCCTGGGTGACAAAGCAAGACTCCATCTCAAAAACAAAACAAAACAAACAAACAGACAGGAAACAGAGACACAGAAAGACAGAAACAGAGATAGATAGAGACGGAGTTAGAGGTAGAGACAGAGGTAGAAATTGAGACAAAAACAGAGCAGGACGGAGAAGGAACTATACACATCCACATACAGAATGCCCCCCGCTCAGTCCCACCCCACTGGTTCTGCCTCTCTGGAGAGCCCTGAATAACACAGCAGGTCACACGACTTGGATGCCAGATATAAAAACACTCACACGCTATGAGCAAGAACAAGGGCTGCTGAAAAGCTGCCCTAACAAAGAGTTCAGTCATAGGAAAAAATCTTGTGTGAAAATATTCATTTGAGATAGGCTGCAAACAAAAGATAGGCTGATAACAAAAAGCAAAAACAGAAACCATCAACCTAAATACCCAACAAAAGGGGAAACATTTCACAAGTCATAACGTGTTGATCTGACTGAACGGCAACTGCATTAGCCAGGGTTCTGCGGAGAAATGGAGCCAAGGGGTGCGTGCATGGAGACAGAGACAGATACAGATACAGGTTTATATTGAGGAACTGGTCCACGCAACCACAGAGACCAGGAAGTCCCATGACCCACAGTCCACAAGCCGAAGACCCAGGAAAACTGGTGGTGTGGCGAGGTCCAAGCCTGAAGCCTGAGAACCGGGAGAGCAGATGGTAGGAATCCCTGGCCAAGGGCAGCAAATCCACGTCCCAGCGGAAGCTAGCAGGTGGAAAGGAAAGAATCCCTCCCTGCCTTCGCTTGTTGTTCTGTTCGGGCCCTCAGTGGATTGGATGGGGTCCCTCCACACTGGGGAGGGCTGTCTCCTTTACTGAGTCCACCAATTTAGACACTACCCTCACCCAGAAACATCCTCACCGACGCACCCAGAAGCAGAAGTAACGTTCAATCTGGGCACCCCACAGCCCAGTTAGGCTGACACACAAAATTAATCATCACATCAAAAATCAGTATTCATAATTATGTAGAAACATGAAAAACATTTGATAGAAGAGCCAGGTGCAGTGGCTCACACCTGTAATTCCAGCACTTTGGGAGGCCGAACCGGGCAGATCATGAGGTCAGGAGTTTGAGATCAGCCTGGCCAACTTGGTGAAATCCCGTCTCTACTAAAAATACAAAAATTAGCTGGGCGTAGGCGGGCACCTGTAATCCCAGCTACTTGGGAGGCTGAGGCAGGAGAATCACTTGAACCCTGGAAGCAGAGGTTGCAGTGACCTGAGACGGAGCCATTGTGCTCCAGCCTGGGTGACAGAGCAAGACCCATGTCAAAAAAAAAAAAAATTGACAGTATAAGCTTTGGATTACAGCATATCTGAATCCAAACCTCAACTTCGCCAATGGCTTTGACAAATCTTGCCTCTCTATGGAATCCTGTTCTTCTGTCTGTAAAATGGGGGTGATATGCCCATGAACCTCACAGGGTTGCTAGAAGTCTTACAATACAGTGTACAAATCACCTGCAGCATCTGGCGTATCTCAGATGATCAATAAGGTAACACTATTAGTACAAGTATCCATGTGGATGAGGACTAGAGTAAAAATAAAAAACAATAATAGGCACAGTCTCATCAGAAAAAAAAAAAAACCCTAATATTAAAACAACATGAAAATGAAAATCTTAGGGCTAAAGGTATACTGCAGCCTAAACAATACCGTTAAGATTTAGGTCAGACAGAAAGATACATTTCTGTATATTCATTTTACACTTTTTATTTTTTGTAGAGATGGAGTCTTGCTGTGTTGCCCAGGCTGCTCTCAAACTCTTGGCCTTAAGCAGTACTCCCACCTCAGCCTCCCAAAGTGCTGGGATTACAGGCGTGAACCACTGCACCTGGCCTCATTTTACACTTTAAGGAACTGGATTTTGCAGTAGTCATGATTAGGAGGGCACTGGGCACTACAAAGCCTAAGAGGTAACTAGCTTATTTGGGGTATTTTGGTTTTTTGTTTTTTTTTTTTTTTTGAGAAGGACTTTCTCTCTTGTTGCCCAGGCTGGAGTGCAGTGATGTCATCTTGGCTCCGCCTCCCATGTTCAAGCGATTCTCCTGCCTCAGCATCCTAAGTATCTGGAGTTACAGGCATGCACCATCATGCCAGGCTAATTTTGTATTTTTTTTAGTAGAGAAGCGGTTTCACCATGTTAGTCAGGCTGGTCTCGAACTCCCGACCTCAGGTGATCCACCCACCTTGGTGTCCCAGAGTGCTGGGATTACAGGTGTGAGCCACTGCGCCCGGCCAACTCCACGGTTAAGGCAGTAGGTGCAGGCAAGTTACTGCTATTCACACCCCTGCAGATAAACACAGAAGTCACCATACCACAACTATTCTCCTAACCCTGCCTTTGTCCTGAGCTTCCTGTGCTAGTGGCAAGTCAGATGCAAGGAAAATCCAGAGTAAAAATAAAAAATAATAATAGGCACAGTCTCATCAGACTTTGAAACCGTGTGAACCCTGGGAAGTGAACATGACAGATGTATGTATAAAGCAAGAATTTCAAGGCACACATTCTGACATTAACTTTGTATTAAGTGCCCTCAAATGTACTCCCTTCCCCTCTTTCAGTTCTCAGGGAAAGAGCAAATAACACTCCTTCCAAATAACACTCCTAAATCAACACCTGAAGAATGAATGATGCCCTGGGCAAATATAAAACTTGCAGTTGTATTTCACCTCATACCATAGAAAGAGAAAACGGTGAACTTAACTCCCTCATTAAAAGCACAAGGGGAGGCTGGGCATGGTGGCTCACGCCTGTAAACCTAGCACTTTGGGAGGCCAAGGCAGGCGGATCACTTGAGGTCAAGAGTTTGAGACCAGCCTGGTCAATGTGGTGAAACCCCATCTCTACCAAAAACAGAAAAATTAGCTAGGTGTGGTGACAGGCGCCTGTAATCTCAGCTACTCGGAAGGCTGAGGCAGGAGAATAGCTTGAACCCGGGAGGTGCAGGCTGCAGTGAGCTGAGATCATGCCACAGCACTTCAGCCTGGGGGACGGTGAGACTCCATCTCACACACACACACACAAGGAAGTGTGACAGGAACTTACTTCTCAGGTGACTCCGCGTGGCCCCTGTGCTTCCTTCCTGATGAGTTTCCATACATGTCATCTTCGTTTTCATCCACATCTTCATCATCAATGCTTTTTACATCAAGCTTCTGGTACCCAAACTCCCCATTCAAAGACAGGGAATCAATTTTCCATGAGTTGCTGCTCTGACTTCCATTGGAATTTGGCCCAAAGGGGCTTTCAAAGGCTGATATGATATTTACAGAGGAGCGGTCGGAGTTGTCCTCTGAGCTCTCCCCTGCCCCAGGTGTCTTTTTAAAAACGTCCCCAGAGTTCTGCTCATCCTCCTCATCATCAAATGAGATAATGTTGGTCACTTTCTTTTTCTTCTTTCGCTCCTTTTTGCATTTCGCATCTGACAAAAGAAAAAAAAAAGATATGGTATAAGAAAAAGTAGGCAAGACAAAAGGATGATGGAACCAACTCACCTCCAGGTTATGGAAAATACTATTCTTCTGAGAAATCCACTGTAACATTAATTCAGACTTTTTAAAATCCTCAATGAAAATCTGTGTACAGAAGATTGAGCAGAATGGATACAGCCCTCTACCTCTGATTTAACTAAACACACCACAGAGCCCACATTGAAACTGTTCCTTCTAAGCAGTCACTTTGATGCGAAGGATGCTACCATTACCAAAATGATCTTCAATGCTTCTCTTTGGAAAATATTCTCATAGCCGTAGATGAGACCAGGAAAACCAGCTGGGGGGTATAGTCAAGAGTTGAACAGCCTCAAATTCCTGCCATTCCTGTGCAGTGCCCCTTCGCAATGGGGCTTTGTGGCTCCTCCCAGCCAGAGGTGATGTCTATTTCTGCACCCTCTTGAATCTGGCTGGCGTAGTGCTTTTTTTTTTTTTTTTTTTTTTTTGAGTTGGAGCAGCTCGCTCTATTGCCCAGGCTGGAGTACAATGGCACAATCATAGCTCACTGTAACCTCCAATTCCTGGGATCAAACAATCCTCTGGCCTCAGCCTCCTGAGTAGCTGGGACTACGGTGCATGCCACAACACCTAGCTAATTTTATTATTTTTTTAAAAGATGAGGTCTTGTGTGCTGCCCAGGCTGGTCTCAAAACTTCTGGCCTCAAGCAATACTCCCACCTCAGCCTCCTAAATTGCTGGGATTATAGGCATGAGCCACCATGCCCTGCTTTTACCTAGAGAATGTGGCAGAAAGGGCCGGGCGCAGTGGCTCACACCTGTAATCTCAGCACTTTGGAGGTGAAGGTGGGTGGATCACCTGAGGTCAGGAGTTCAAGACCAACCTGGCAAACATGGTGAAACTCCATCTCTAATAAAAACACACACACACACACAAAAAAAAATCAGCTGGGTGTGGTGGCGGGTGCCTGTAATCCCAGCTACTTGGGAGGCTGATGCAGGTGAATTTCTTGAACATGGGAGGCAGAGGTTGCAGTGAGCTGAGATTGCGCCATTGCAGTCCAGTCTGGGTGACAGAACAAGCCTCTGTTTCCAAAAAAAAAAACAAAGTGGCAGGAATCACACTGTGTGAGTTCTAGTAGCTAGGTGTTAACAGGTCTCACAGCTTTGCGTTTGCTCTCCCGGACAGAGGCCCTGACCCCATACATGAAGAAGCCAGCTCAGCTGACTGGAGGATGAGAGACCAGGAGCACAACCTGAGCCGCCCCAGCACTTATTCCAGACATGTGGATGGGGCCATCTTGGATCTTCCAGTCTAACCACCAGCTCCCATGAGTGAGCCCAAGGAATCCAGCGGAAGAGCCACCATGCCAACCCACCTAAAAAAGGAACGAACTGTGGTGGTTTTAAGTCGCTACATTTTTTAATCACTTGTTATATAGCAAATGTTAACTGAAAAAGAAATCAAGCCTGCCTTAGTGACCAGCACTCAGAGAAGACTCTTTGTGCCCCCATTTTAATCACCACACTTGGATGTAAGACACTTTGAGGGAATTCCAAAAACCCAATCCGTCTAAACCAATGTGTGATGCGGTGAGGCCTCACTGGTATAGCACAACTCCGAGATTACCTCAAAAGCAGAGTTCCAAAAATGGGTGGGACTGCTACTCCTGTGGGTGTAGAAATTTCAGTGTCTTTGTCACACGAAGCCATCAACAGCCCTATCTCCTACACTGTTCATGCAGGGTCTCTGCTGGAGAAGCACAGGGCAAGACAAACAAGGCCACTGTGTACCAAAGACACCATGGGATTCTGCACTTTCACCATCAGTAATTCCAAAGGGATGGCCCCAGTTACTGCCTTGTTTAAGAGATCTGAGGATACTGAGACTAAGTACTTAAGCCCAAAATTTCCAATTTCAACCAGGCACAGTGGCTCACACCTGTAATCCCAGCACTTTGGGAGGCCAAGGCAGGAGGATCACTTGAGGCCGGGAGTTCAAGACCAGCCTGGGCAACATAACAAGACCCTGTCTCTACATATATACACATACATACTACAACAAAACTTCCAATTTTGCTGTAGTAACATCTTAATGTCCCAAAGGAATCAAAGGGTATTGAAAACTTATCACCAAATTAATCTTAACTTAATCAACTTTCTTTTTTTCATTCAATTTTTTAATTAAATTTTTTTAAAAACAGGCTGGGCACAGTGGCTCATGCCTGTAATCCCAGCATTTTGAGAGGGCAAGGCGGGCAGATCACCTGAGATTAGGAGTTCAAGATCAGCCTGGCCAACATGGGAAACCCCATCTCTGCTAAAAATACAAAAAGAAGCCAGCCAGGCATGTTGGCACATGCCTGTAGTCCCATCTACTCAGGAGAATTGCTTGAATCCGGGAGGTGAAGGCTGCAGTGAGCTGAGATCATGCCCCTGTACTCCAACCTGGGCAAGAGAGTGAGACTCTGTCTCAAAAAAAAAAAAAAAAAAGTTAAAAAATTGAGACAGGGTCTCACTACATTGCCCAGGCTGGTCTAGAACCCTTGAACTCAAGCGATCCTCCTGCCTCGGCCTCCCAAAGTGCTAGGATTACAGGCATGAGCCACCAAGCCCAGCCTGAACCAACTATCTTCTGCCTCCCCATGACTCCCTAGAGTCAAAGCCGACAACTCCTGTCTTTCCTGAGGCCTCTACTTAAAAGCCATCCCCAGTCAGAGGCAAGCCCAACGGCAGACGTTCCCATAGCAGCCTACGCTTGGTTTTCATCCCTTTTATCCTAAGGATCATAAATTATATATTTTGTCATGAACTACCCACCCACACTCATCCCAAAGGAGACTGCAGGCTACCTGCTGGCAATCTGTCTTTCCTATTCAGCTCACTGCCTAGCACACAGAATACGATGAAGGAACAAATAAAGGAATGAATGAATGAAGATCAACGTCATCTGGCTCCCGGTGTCTCTCACACCCTCACTTTCTGTTTGCTATGGTTGAGCTGCTCATTTTTCCACCCGGCAATTCTCGCATCTAGATAAGGCCGTCAGAGCCCTTTCAGAGTGAATGAGAATGAGAAACAGAAACACAAATGGAAAACAAGTGTACTGGACTCTATTCCCCTTGGAATGACTTTCAGATGATGAGGTACGTCCACCCCATCAGCCACATTCTGCTTCCCTCTGCTCCGCCTCGAGCACCCGTTCCCACTCACCGGCACTGACATTCCTGGACACGACAGGCAAGGGGTCGGTCTCCTGTTCAGGTTTGATGAGGATGGAGACGGCAGAGGAGGCTGTGATCTCCCTGAACAGGCTGCTCACTCCTTGCGTGGACTCCTTCAGCAAGGAGGTCACATTCTGCGTTGACTCCTTTAAGAGGTCTGAAACGGTGGGAGCAAACTTACTCTGCCCGTTCAAATCCTTGTTGTCGATGTTAATCGCAAAGAGTATGGAGTTCAGACCTACCCAAAAAAAGAGAGAAGTCTGGAGTGCTTGCTGATGGGCAGTCACACCACCACCAAGAGAAGACAGCTGCAGACAACAGAGTACGGAAGAGGAGACACACTGATCTTAAATAGGTATAAAAATACCTCCCACGCGGAGGTTGTAGGGAGCCGAGATCGTGCCACTGCACTCCAGCCTGGGGGACAGAGCAAGACCCTGTCTCAAAAAAAAAAAAAACACCTCCCATGAAACTGGGGTCAGCAGACATCCGTTATCACGGGAGTTGAGTCATGCCACATTCTCTCCCTAACAGCCACAAAGATAAATACAAATAAGAAGTCAACCAGGAGGAGGTGAAGGCGCAAGTTCTGGGATCAGACTGCCTGGGGGTCAGTTCCAGCACTGTCACCTACTAGCTACAAGACCTTGGTCCAGGCCGGGTACAGTGGCTCATCCCTGTAATCCCAGCACTTTGGGAGGCCAAGACAAGTGGATCACCTGAGGTCGGGAGTTCGAGACCAGCCTGACCAAACGGAGACACCTCATCTCTATTAAAAACATGAAATTAGCCGGGCGTGGTGGTACATGCCTATAATCCCAGCTACTGGGGAGGCTGCACAGGAGAATCGCTTGAACCCAGGAGGCAGAGGTTGCAGCGAGCCAAGATCATGCCACTATACTCCAACCTGGGCAACAAGAGTGAAACTCCGTCTCAGAAAAAAAAAAAAAGACCTTGGTCCAGCAACTTATCATCTCCCTGTACTCCAGTCACCTTATCTGTAAGATGGGGACAATATTCTCTCTCTCACAGGATTGTAAGTATTAAAGGCAATCACTCACAAGACACTCAGCTCCATAAACCATCAAATGTGCACCGATAACATCATCATCATTACTCTGGACAGAAACTTACACTGGCATCTTATGGTCTACAAAGAAATCATGGTCAAATCCTTTTTCTCATCAATGGACAGGACTAACATAACCCCAAATATATGAGACTTACTATAAACTTTCAAGGAAAAACAAAAATGAGGCAAAAAAGAACTTGGAAAGAGGAAGCAAGTTGCCCACTTCAGTCCGGCTGATTCCACCTTTCACCCTTTGAGTCAAAGGGCAAACAATGTAACAGTCCACCGAGCAACATCAACCCAGGGTCTCCACGATGACTGTCACGTGTGCGGCCCCCGATCTCACATTATTCTCTCACAGCCCCATGAAGGTGATTGCTGAGACAGCATGATTCCCATCTCACAGAGAGGAAAGAAAAGGTAGCAAAGCTTATAGCATCTGCCCCAGGTCACCAGTTAGCAAGGGGTAAAGCCAGGATTCAAAGGTAGGTCCCCCACCTCCAATTCCCCGCAAGGTATATTACATCTCCAAAGCCCAACTAAAAACCTTCTCAAATCTTCGCTTTCTCTGCCAGGGTCTCACATTCTAGATGAATAGACCCAACACTCTGGTCGGGCATGGGGACTTACACCTGCAATCCCAACATTTTGGGAGGCCAAGGTGAGTGGATTACTTGTGCTCAGGAGTTCGAGACCAGCCTGGCCAACATAGTGAAACCCTATCTCTATTAAAATACAAAAATTAGCTGGGCGTGGTGGCAGGCACCTGTAATCCCAGCTTTTCGGGAGGTTGAGACAGGAAAATAACTTGAACCCAGGAGGCAGAGGTTGCAGTGAGCCGAGATCGCACCACTGCACTCCAGCCTGGGTGACAGAGTGAGGCTCTATCTTTTAAAAAATAAAAATAAAACAACCAACATTCAGTGCTAGTAAAAGAAGGACAGCAGCAAGTGACTCATTAAGTTGTTGAGGGACACAGAAGAATCACAACATTCCATGGCGTTGTGGATCTGCCCCAAGGCAGCCCCTCTGCTCACAAGTGTCACAAGGCCCTGGTCTGGGCCAGGCTTACCCGCTGCCATGGTTGGAAGCATGCTGGACCTCTCTTCATCCATCACAAAAGACCAGTCTTCATAAAAAGTGCTGCAGATTCAAAGAGAAGAGGAAATCGCTCTTAGCAGTGGTTCTCTGTGTCTATTAACCAAGAAATTTCATTAGACGGCTCCCTGGAAGATCTGCACCTGATCACCCCAGGAGGGATATGATTTGTCTGAGGTCTCTGCTGGTTTAAAGCTTCTGCTTACGAACAGAAGATCGAACACACACATCCTACAACTTCCTCGCTGGTCCCCCGAGACCCCCAGCTTCAGAGTACGAAAATAGACATTATACGTAAATGTATTTATAAAGCAGCAAAGTAGGAGGGAGCAGTCAGGTGGGTGACTTCCACTCAAGCAATGTCCCCAAGAGACAGACAGGAAATCCAAGCCAGCCAACAGGGCTCGCCTGATTTGCCTAATACAAGAAGAGACCATTTCAGACAGAAATTACAGAGCCTCTATGACTTCATCAACCAGGGCATTTAATATAATGCCTGCCTTGGCCAGGCATGGTGGCTCATGCCTGTAATCCCAGCACTTTGGGAGGCTGGGGTGGGAAGATCACTTGAGGTCAAGAGTTCGAGACCAGCCTGGCCAACACAGTGAAACCCCATCTCCATTAAAAATATAAAAAATTAGCTGGGCATGGTGGCAGATGCTTGTAATCGCAGCTACTCAGGAGGCTGAAACAGTAGAATCGCTTGAACCTGGAGGCTCAGTGAGCAGAGATTGCACCACTGTACTCCAGCTTGGGCGAAAGAGCGAGACTCCACCTCAAAATAATAATAATAATAATATAATGCCTGCCTAGGTTACAGACCTGAAAGCCCACATTATCCTTGGAAAAGGCCAGGAGGCTAAAAATACACGACAAATCTAGATGGCATTGGGATAAGGCCGTCAAGAAAGCCTACAAGGCCTGTCCAAGGTCATCTGGCCAATAAATGGTCCAGCCAGGGCTTAAAAGAAGTTCTCCCGAGTCCAACTTCCAAGCTCTCTCTGACTTCCTGTCAAGCAATGACAACCAAAAATCCCCAATGCCATAACTTCCCCACCAGGTCACTGAATTCTAAATTAATTGAGGCAAAGGTCAATTTCACTAAAGCAAAGTCAGGGATACAAGACGTATAGTTGAGTGAGGGGTTGGAAAAATTAGCCACTGAAGTGACTGAATACAACTAACAGAAACTAACACTGGGTACACACAGACATAAAGACGGCAAACAAAGATGGGGACTGCTAGAGAGAGTAGAGAGGGAGAAAAGCATGGACTGAAAAACTACCTACCGGGTACTATGTTCACTACCTGGGAGATGGGTTCAATCATGCCCTAAACCTCGGCATCACGCAATGTTCCCAGGTAACAAACCTGCACATGTACCCCCTGAATCTAAAATAAAAATTGAGGCTGGGAACGGTGGCTCACGCCTGTAATCCCGGCACTTGGGAGGCTGACGTGGTGGATCACTTGAGGCTAGGAGTTCGAGACCAGCCTGGCCAATACAGTAAAACCCCGTCTCTATTAAAAATGCAAAAATTAGCTGGGCGTGGTGGTGCACACCTGTAATCCCACCTACCGGGCAGGGTGAGGCAGGAAAAAGAGAGAAGAGGTGCATTTCCAATATACTTTTCCAGAAAATATTAGCAGACGTACAAACCACGTGCTCAAGCTGACATTCTGACTGCACCTGATTCCTAAAATCATGATCCTTTAAAAATCTGAGCCCGTTTTCGTGCATCTAAATGAATGTGTTTTCCCCACATCGGGCTGGGGAAGTGGCTGGTGATCCAGGTAAGGTCAACTGTGATTCTTACCTGCTGGACTCACTTCTTCTTGATGTTCACTTCAACTTTGAGACTGAGTGTGTAACTCTGAACTACCCATAAATGATATGCTGGAAAGAGCTTCACAGAAATTCACTTCAAGAAATAGGAGTAGGCCACACACAGTAGCTCACGCCTATAGTCCCAGCACTTTGGGAGGCTGAGGCGGGAGGATCACGAGGTCAGGAGATCAAGACCATCCTGGCTAACGCGGTGAAATCCGTCTCTATTAAAAATACAAAAAATTAGCCAGGTGTGGTGGTGTGCGCCTGTAGAACCAGCTACTCAGGAGGCTGAGGCAGGAGAATCGCTTGAACCCGGGAGGCGGAGGTTACAGTGAGCCAAGATCACGCCACTACACTCCAGCCTAGGCAAAAAAGCGAGACTCCATCTCAAAAAAAAAAAGAAAAGAAAAGGAA